TAAAATAATAATAATAAAAAAAAAGGTATTTAAGTGAAGCAAATGGCTTTTTGTGTTTGACATGGAGACCTTTAGAGGGATGGGAGGAAACAAATAAGTTCTGATGGTGAGGAATATAAAACACTGACCTCCACAGCAGCTTTTATAAAATCCAGAGCATCCAGCAGTTGTAATAATTTCCTATTAATTTCCATCAGCAGAAATGATAAGAAACACAATAAATGACGATCCAAGTGAGAAGAATTCAAAAAATCCAGGCAGGGAGGGTTTTTTGGGGTGTATTTCCTTGGATTCATGGATTGGGGCTGCTGCTCCAAGATTTCCCAAAACCAACCAAGCAGATTTTGGCTTGGAAATGCCCCAAAACAAAACCCAGATTTCCAGAGGTAAAATCAGCAGCAGGAAAAAAAAAACAAACTGGGAGGTGGAAATTCAAAGGAAAACTGCCTAATGATGGAACAGGACAGTAAATTTAATTTCAGTTTTAAAACAATCTGCAAATCAATTTATTCCAAATCTTTGGAATTCTGCAAGGTTTTGGTTTTGTTTTTTTTTTTTAATGGTTTTTAAACTCCAAATCACAATTTACCCCAAACCTCTGGAATTGTGAAAGGTTTTTCTGAGGAGGTTTTTTTAACCTGCAAATCACAATTTATCCCAAATTTATGGAACCCTGGAAGTTGTGGGGTTTTTTTGGGGGAGATGTTTTTGGGGTCGTCTGGGCTTTTTTTATTTATGGGTTTTTAACTTGCCTTCTGCTGTCCTTTAGGGAAACATAAAGACAAATATCACAAAAAAAACCTGAGAAAAACTGACTCCATGGAAGTATTTCAAATCAAGCAGCAGTGACAGAAGTGGCAGAGCAGAAACCCCCAGGTTTCATCCCTTCCTCATTATAAACTTGGCCTTTTTTTTTTTTTTTGTGCCTTAAAACTGAGCCAGTTTAAGTTTCCTGATTCAAAACCAGTTATAAAAGCAAAAAATTAACTCCTAAGCCTCAGATAAGCTTGTTTGACTTGCAGCTCAGGCAAGAGGCAGGGATGTATTAATGCCTCTCACTGAGCAGCCTTTCATCTTTCAAAAATCTTGAAAATTCAGGCAAAGCTGCCTTTGGTCCCAAATGCACAATAATTTCTGTTCCAAAACTGGCTCCATTTGCTCCAAGTGTGTCAAATATTCCTTTCCTGTGTGTCTGAGGCAGCCTGGAGCAGCACAGGGCACTGGGAATTGCAGGCAGGCTCACAAACCTCTCCTGTTCCCAGTCATTCCACAGGGAGCTTTGGGAGTAAATGCAAAGAATAAGGGGCATTTTCAGGCAAAAAAAAAAATCTTTTCCTGTTTTTGAGCATCCCTCAGTGGGCTGAAAGCCTCTTCAAAGCAGGTCACAGGTTCTCAAGGAAAAAATTGAGGAGCTTGCAGCAGAACTTCCCAGGAATGAGGAGTTTTTAATTCTACAACACATCAGTGACTCAGAAATTTCACAGCTTGGGCTCTGGAATATTTCAAATTATGGAATGAAGCAGGAACTGCTTCTGAATTTATCAGAGTGCCATGGCTTGCACAAGGTGGGACAGAATCCTCCTGGTCATCCTCACTGTGCCTGGATGCACCAGGAAGGAGCCAATTTATTCCCACCAAAGCCTCCCAGCCTTGTTAGAAACATTTAAATTCACACATTTCCCCCTGAAAAAGGAGAGGAGAAATTTGTGGAGATGCTACAGAAATTGAAATTCACCTGCTTCACTTCCTTTATAAGATATTTTTATCAAAGCTTAACGATATCCAAGGTTTTTTAACTTAAAGCACTGGGATTAAGCAGCCTTGGCACAGCACTAAAAGAAGAGAAAAAAACAAAACCTTTGCTACTTAAGTTGCTTTTAAAACTCCACTTCCACGTCACCAGGGAATCCCAGGATACATTTTAAATAATATCCTGAACCTCACACTTCTGCCAGGTAATTTTTACAAGGCCAGAGGAGTCAGAGCAGGAATTTTTACCTTCAGCAAAATCAGGCCAAATTTCTTCTCTTTTGTTAATTAAACAGCACCAAAAGGAACAAAATTAAAAAGGAAGAAATTCCAGTCAGGAACTGAGTTGTTACAAAAACCTGGAGCTGGGCAAAGCCATCAATTTCAGCTTTAAAACACCACAAATTTTCATGGATATGAAAAACCAAGTGCATTCCCAAATTCTGTCCCTTTTGCAGCACTAGGGGAGATCACAGCAGAGATGGGAAGGGAAGGAGAGAGGAAGCTCTTTCCTTCAGGCTGAAATCTTTGGGATAAAAGGATAAAATCCACTTCCTAAAAGGCAAACAGCTCCTATGAAACAGATCCACGAAACCCAGGGGTTAAAGCAGAGCAGGAAAGTTCTGGAGCAGGGTCTAAGTGCAGGCAGGAACAATGAGGGAGCTGAGGAAAGTGAATGGGAATAGTGCTGACACGACAGGTGAGGAGAGAAAGGCAGCACCAAAAGATTTAGGGAACAAAGAACTGCAAAAACAGAGGGAAAGCAGAAACCAAGGGCAGGAACCCACACAGGGAAAAGCATGGAAGAGCAGAGACAGCAGGAAATCAAATTCCTCAGGATGCAGGAAACAGGGAACACTGCCCTGATAGAGGATTAATTAACCAAAATCCTCAATTCTCTGCCACCCTCAGGGAGCTCTGAGGTGGAGATGCCCAGGGAACTCCTCAGCTCTCAGGGCACCCTTTAATAAACTCAGCTGTCCTGTGGGATCAGTTTGGTGGTGAGAAGCATTTCCAGGAGCTGTGTTTGAAGAAGAGCTCAGAGCTCCAACGGGGAATGTTCCCCATGGATTTGTGTTGGGGACCTGAAGGGAAAAGCAGCTGCAGTCGGGTTTCCCAGCACAGCTGATTTTCCTACATCTCCTTCCAGCAAATGCTGAGTTTGAGTTCTCATGGACTCAGCAGGAGACAACCAGCAGGGTTATACCTGGACCCAGCAGGATTTGGGATAATCCCACTCAGAAGCCTGATTTTGGATCAGCAGTTCGGCACAGAGCTGTCCTGATAAACTGGGGCCCTTTCCCTGAATCCAGGCAAACCTTAGGAAGAAAGAATTCACACCCTGGAGGTGCTGGTCTTGCTACAGCTCTGAGGAGACTCACCTGGGAACTGACCCTGCAGGTGATGGACCCCAAACTCACCTGGGAACTGACCCCACGGGTGCCAAACCCCAAATCCATTCAGAACTGACCCCATAGGTGATGGACCCCAAAACTGACCCCGCAGGTGCCAAACCCCAAATCCATTCAGAACTGACTCCGCAGGTGCCAAACCCCAAGCCCACGTCAGGACTGTCCCCCAGGTGCAGCTGGTGCTGCTGTGGGGTGCCCAGTTTGTGTCCCACGGGTTCCCCCATGCCCCCCTCACCTCGGAGGGTCTCCTGCCAGGCTGGGCTCCTCCTGCTGTGCCCCCGGGCCGCGGCTGCTGGCGCTGTCCCTGTCCCCAGTGCCTGAGGAGAGGGGACAGTCAGAGCCACCTGCACCCCTGGCGTCTGTCCCGCCTCAGCCCCAACACCCACCCGGACCTACAGCTCCCCCCAAAGCCGTGCGCGCCCCTTCCCATTCATTATCCCAAAGAAATGGAGGTAATTCATTGATTTCCCCACTCTGCCATCCCCAAACGCCCTCCAGCCTCGCCGCGTCCCCCCCCCCCGACCCCGTTAGAAAACAACGCCGGGCCCTCCCCTCCGCCCACCCCGGGCCGCTCCCGGGGGTGTCCCCTGTCCCCCCATCCCGGGGCCGCCCCCGCCCCGCGCTTCCCCCTCCCCCTCCCCCCGCCGGGCCCGGGCCCGCCCCCCCTCCCCGGCGCTAGGCCGCGGCGGCGCGGGCGGCGCCTCACCGGTGTCGGGGGGCTGCGAGGGCCCGGCGCTGTGCGGGGCGCGGCGGGGGCGGGCCGGGGAGCGGCGGGAGCCGGCGGGGCCGGCGGGGCGGCGGCGGCAGAGCGGGACGGGGCGGCGGAGCGGCCTCTACTCGCGGCGGCGCAGGGCGGCCATGGCGTGACGTCATCCGCGCGCGACGGGGCCCGGCGGCGCGAGGCGAGGGGAGGGGAGGGGGGAGCCGGGGAGGAGGGGGGGGAGCGCGCGCTCTGCTGCCCCCCCCCCCCTTAAAGGGGCCGCGCACCGCAAGGACGGAGCGCAGGTGTGCGCGCACAGGTGCGAAGGTGCGAACAGGGGGTGGGTGTGTGCAGGCGCGCACGTGGAGGGAGGCGCAAGGTTCCGCGCACACGCGCGCGCTGCCGGGCAGATGTTGGTGGGGGGCGCGCGCGTGCGCGCGGCTCCAGGTGTGCACAGGTGGCGCGCGCGCGCGCGCGCGCGGGGAATCCGCGGGATCAGGGAATATTTGGGAGCTCTGGCACCTGGAGCAGGTGACAGAGGGACACATCCAGGTGTGTCTGGAATGTCTCCGGACAGGGAGAGCCCGCAGCCTCCCTGGGCAGCTGTGCCCGGGCTCTGCCACCCTCCATGGACAGAAGTTTTTCCTCGTGTTGAAAGGGAACTTCTCGTGGTTTGGTTTATGGCCATTGCTCCTCTTCCTGCCACTGGACACCACTGGGAACAGTCTGGCACTGTCCCATGGAGATATTTGTATGGATTGATGGGATCTGGCACTGTCCTGTGACACCCCATGGAGATATTTGTATGGATTGATGGGATCCCCTCTCAGCGTTCCCTTCTCCCATGCCCAGCTCCCGCAGCGCCTCCTGATCGGGAAACGCTCCAGATCCCCCGGCTGGGACTGGCTGGGCAGGAGGGGGTGCGGCCGGGGGGAGGAGGAGTCTCTGTGACAGGTATATAAGGTGAGGAGAGGGCATGATCCTGGGGAGAAGAGTTGGTGTTTGCTGCAGGTGAGGGAATGGATCCCCCCATGAGGATCTTGGCTGGAGAGATCCTCTGGAGCCCCTCAGCAGGCTCCTGGCTGGAGATGTCCGTGGATCAGCAGGGTTGGGGGTGCTCCCATGGGTGTCTCTGACTCCCAAAGCCCTGGTTGCCCTCTCAGAGGGCTCGGAGCCCAGGCTGGTGTCTCACCTTTGCTCCAGCGCTGACTCAGGCTCCCACGTGTCCCTTTACGCAAGAGCCGTGCTGGCAGGGGACTCTGGCCAGGCTGCCACCACTGGCCTGGCCCTGGCCAAAGGGCAGGACCAGCCCCCGTAAAGGCAGTGGTGACAGAGCTCAGGCTCAATTCTGTCACTGGAATTGCTGGTGGGGACATCTGGAGCGGACAGGAGCTGAGAGGAGTGGAAGATCCCCTGGAGCAGAGTTGAACGTGCTGGTGGGAACAGATCTTGAGCAAACAGGAGCTGACTGGGACCACTGTCCTTCCTCCCACAGGCTGCTCCGTGCTCCTTGGAAGATGGATTACGCCAAATCCCTGAGCCAGCGCCTGGCTGCCCCCGTGTCCAAGTAAGTGCCATGGAACCCCTGTCCCCAGGATGGGGGACATCCCACCAGAGCCCTCCGTGGCTGCTGCCACTGCCAGGGCGGCTGTGCTGCCTCTCAGAACACCCCAATCCCTGCATCCCTTCCCAGATGTGTGTCTGCCAGTGCCTCCATGACCCAGCAGCTGCTGGCCAGCCCGGCCCCACCACCCCGGCCCTACCGAGTGTGCAACTGGGACCGCAGCCTGCGCAAGGGGGTCATGGCCCCCAGCCTGGCCGAGCTGCTGCGCCAGGTCAGTCCGTCTGTTCGGGCTCTGTCTGTCTGTTCGGGCTCTGTCTGTCTGTCCGGGCTCTGTCCCCCCCTCAGCCCTGCTCACCCCCAGCCCCTCTGCAGGCTCAGAGTGCCCTGGCCCTGCCAGCGCCCATCGTGCTGGTGCTGGATGAGGATGGCACCGCCGTGGAGACCGAGTCGTTCTTCCGGACGCTGGAGGAGAACACGGCACTGATGGCCCTGAGCAAGGAGCAGAACTGGACTGCCCCCAAGGTGAGGGGACTCCTGAGAGGGCCAGGAGGGTGGTTTGTGTCCTGTCTGTCCCCCGCTGGAGGTGGGATTGGGAGGGTTGGGTGCGCTGGGTGACCGCGGTCCTGCTGTTCCATAGACACGTGGCTACCAGGTGGGCCTGTCCCGCAAGCCCCCGCACAGGATCGATGTCGCCTGTGTCACCTTCGACCTGTACAAGACCCACCCGAAGGACCTGGGCTGCCTCAATGTCAAAGCCACCCTGTATGGCACCTACAGCATGTCCTACGACCTGCGCTGCTACGGGGCCCGGCGCCTGGTGAAGTGAGTGTGGGGGCTGGGGACACTGGGGGAGGACACTGCCCAGCCCTGGGGACACTGCCCAGCCCTGGGGACACTGCCCAGCCCTTCCCTGGCACGCTGACCCCTTTCTCCCTGCGCAGGGAAGCTCTGCGCTGGGGGCTGTTCACCATGCAGGCCACGGGCCACGTCCTGCTGGGCACCTCGTGCTACATGCAGCAGCTCCTGGATGCCACCGAGGAGGAGCAGAAGGAAGAGGAGAAGAACCCACTGCCCCTTCAGAACCTCCTGCCCTGCAGCCTCCCTGCCCTGCCCTACAAGAAGATGTTGCAGTGAGGACTGGCTGGCCTGGCCTGTCCCCTCCTCTTTCCCCCCAGCCCTCGGGGGTCCCAGCCCCCTGCTAGGTCAATGCCTGGGCAGAGGCTGCCACAGTGCCTGGCACAGCCTCTCCTTGCACTCCTCTGGCTGAGTGTGGCCAAATCTGCTCTGGAATAGCTGCTGCTCTGTAAATATATTTATTTAAGTAAAGTTCTCCTGACTTCAGCTGCGTTTTGTGTCATCTTTGCGGGGGGGGATACCCAGGACACTCAGCCCTTGCACTACTTGGCACCCTGAGCTGGTGCTGTAAGAGGTGTGAGCAGGGACCTGTCGTAAGCGCTTCCCCAGGGGCGCTGCTGCCTTCATCCTCCTCCTCCTCCTCCCTGGCACCAGAGCCTGGTTCCCACCCCCTGGCACAGACCCGAGACTCCTCTGGCACTGCAGCCACCCACAACACAGTGCTGGGGCAAACCCCAAAGCCCCTGCCCTGTGGGGCAGCTGATGCCAGCTGGCACCATGTCTGTCCCTTCCCTGCTCCTTGTGCCCCTGCCTGTGCAGGGCTGGCACACAGGGACAGCCCCCGTGCCCTGGAGGGGGTGTTCCAGTCCCTGGGGTTCCTGTTGGCAGCCCTGGGCAGGGGCAGTCACTGTGCCCACCCCAGCCTTGCCCAACCCCGGGTGCTGGTGCTGGCCACGTCCAGGGGCATCCCAAGGGCCTGGCAACTCCAGGGAGAGCAGCTGGGAAACAAACAGAGCTGGGGGCACTGGGCTGCAGTGACCTGGCCCTTGGGGACTGTCCCGGAGTGCCCAGAAAGATCCTGAAGCGCCACCCCTACCAGAGAGGGTTGGGAGGGACGGGAACAACCCACTGCCTGCCTGTGCTGGACTGGGAACACTGGGAAGCACTGGGGTGAGCTGTGGGGAGGTGAGAAGCCATGCTCCGGGCATCCTTAGGGCCATCCTCCCCTGTCACACTGGGTGACACCCGAGCCACACTCACCTGGGCACTCACTGCAGGGTCCGGAGCTGCAGCGCAGGGACTGCTCATGTGGCAGAGAGCTGAGCCCCACCCGGGCTTAATTAACTTGATGATTAATGAGCCATCAGCACCAGCTGAGCTCCATCTGGGAGCAGCGACTTTGCCCCGTGGCACAGATGTGTGACGAAGGTGCCACCCAGGGGCACTGGGGACAGCCTGGGGATGTCGTGCCCTGCCCAGTACAGCTGCTGTCACCCGTGACTGTCCCCACCCGGTGTCCCCAAGCCCCCAGCCCCCCCGCAGTGTCCCCCACCCTACACAAGTGTTTAGCAGACATATTTATTTCTGTACACACTTATACACACAGTTCCCAGGGCAGCTCCATCCTCGCTGGCTCCGTGCAGGGTCCGCTCTGTGCTGAGGGCACCCCCAAATTTCCTGGGGTGCTGGGGCCAAGCCCGTGCCCCCCACACCCCCATTCCAGCCCCGTAGTGTCTACCTGGGGGGAAAAGCCCCCTGCAGCCCCCAGGGCAGGGCTGTGCACCGTCCCCCTGCCTCAGTTTCCCCCTGGGGCACAGCTGGGAGCTGACCCCCACCACCAAGGTCCTCACCCCCCAACCAGGAGGGTGAACTTTGGAGCTCCAGATGCTGAAGCTGCCCCGGTGGAGCCTCCTGGGGGGATCCTCCATCACCCCAACCCCTGCATGGAGGGAGGGGGTGTCAGGCACTGGTTCCATCCCCCAGCCCCTGCAGCCCCCCCGAGCGGTGCTGGGGGGCCCTGGGGGTGTTACTTGACGTGCTCAGCGGCGTGGGAGGAGCAGTAATACTTCTTGTGGGCGATGAAGGTGGACAAGCTGCTGAACTTGATGTTGCAGAGGCGACAGTACCTGTGGTTGCCATTGGGCACCGGGCCGGGCACGGCCTTGGCCGGGGGGGTCTGCACCCCCCTGTCCGTGTAGGCGGGGGGCGTGGGGGGCTTGCGGGCGGCTTCCCGCAGTGCCTCGGGGGCTCCGGGCGAGGCGGGGCCCCGGGGGGAGCCGGGGGGCCGGGGGCTGTCCCTGCCCTCCTTGGTGCTGAGGCTGTCCCGGCGGAGGCGGGGGCCGGGCGGGCGAGGAGGGGACGCCGTGGGCAGGGGGGGCTCGGGTGTCCTGCCAGCACCGGCACCGGGGGCCAGCGCGTCCGGGAGCCCCTGGCCAGCCCCCGCCGGAGGCTTGGCCACAAAGAGCCCGTGGGCGTTTCGGAAGTGCTCGAGGAGGTCGCCTTTGATGGCCCCGTTGAGGGGACAGTAGGGACAAGCGGTGAGGGGACCCTTGGCACCCGGTGGCGGCAGGGGACCTTTGGGGTGACGCTGCAGCGAGTCCGCCCCGGGGTACGGGATACCGGGGCTCCCCGCCGGGGCTGCCCTCACCCTCACCCCTCCTTCGGGGTCCCCTTCACCGGGGCTACCGGGGCTGTGCCGGCCCTTGAGCGGGGTGGCCATGGCCCCTTTCATCTTCTGCAGGTGCTCCAGGGTGCGGGGCTGCAGCGGCGTGGCCGGGCACTGGTACTTCTTGTGCGCCAGGTACGCGTCCAGGCTGTTGAAGCTGATGCGGCACGCGGTGCACTCGTGGTAATCAGCCAAGGGCAGCAGCGGTGCCGGTGCCGGTGCCGGTACCGGAGCCGGCTCACTCTGCCACCGCGGCTTCTTGCTCAGGTCGATGGGACCCTCGCTGTCGGGGCTAGCGCGGGGCTCGGGGGTGGCCACGGGCGGCTCCGCGGGCGGCGGCTCGGTGGCCGGAGGGGGCTCGGCGGGGCGGCGAGCGGTGCCGTGGATCTCGTAGAGCTTTCGGCGCTTGCGGGTGCGCAGCGGCTGCGGCAGGAAGGGCACTTTGGGGGCGGCGGGGCGGCGCAGGGGGGGATCGTGCCGGGACGCGCAGTAGAAACGCTTGTGCACCACGTAGGTCTCGTGGCGGCTGAAGCGGATGTTGCACGCCTCGCACAGAGTCTTGCTGGGGTCCTCGTCCCCCTCGTCCCCCGCCGAGCTGACGGGGCTCTGGCTGTCCTCGCTGCACCGCCCCGACCCCCCCTCCGCCTCGGGGGACCCCGCTTTGGTGCCCCCATCTTCAGCCTTGCCCTCCGGCGCGGTGGCCGGCGGGGTGGCATCGCGGCTGGCGTCCCCGTCCCCCGCTGCCAGGCCCTGCCCGTTGCCCGCCGCAGGGGACAGCAGCGTCCCCGGGGCGGGGGGACCCTTGGGGACCCCGGGGGTGGCTTTGAGCTTGCGTTGCCCGGGGGGGCTGTCCTCGGCCAGGTGCCGGCTGGAGCAGTACAGGCGCTTGTGCACGTAGTAGTTGTTGATGTTGTTGAAGGTGATCTCGCACTCGAAGCAGGTGGCCCCCTTGGGCACCGGCGTGCCCGTGTAGACGGCGGGTGGCACCGCGCCGCCCCCGTGGTGGCCCTGCTTCAGCCGGCTGTGCACCAGCTCTGACATCTTGGCCAGGATCTCCGACGCCTGCGGCACCACCGCGGCCTCGTGGCCGAACACGTACTGGGGGAGGAAGACGGTGCCGCCGGCCGTGCCCGTCCCCGGCTCGCTGGGCACGGGGCTGGAGCCCGGCGTGGGGCTGGCCAGCTCCGACTTGACCTTGGCCGACGACAGGCTGCGGGGGGACGAGGTCCGGGAGCCGGGGTCGGGGCTGCCGAGCCCCTCCCCGCTCTTCGGTGCCTCCGCCTCGCTGGCCGGGCTGCCGGCCGGCTCCTCCTTGATGCGCACCGGCTCGCCGGACGTGGAGGAAGAGGAAGAGGAGGATGCTGATGAAGGACCTTCCCCGTTCTGCGGTTGGGCTGGGGGTGAGAGTTTGCCGGCTCTGGGGTCGGGGGGAGAGGTGGGCGGTGCCGGTGCCGGTACCGGGGCGGTGTCGGGGCCGGGAGGGGGACCGGGCAGCACCACGTGCTGCGGCAGGGCCGGCAGTGCCTCGGGCAGGAACGCGCTCAGGCTGCACTTCCGAAGGGACGCGTTGTTCGGCTGGCTCAGCCCTGCAGGGGGACAGAGGGCACAGTGTCACCGAGAGCCCAGGCACAGGGATGACCAGCACTGATGTCACCGAGAACACTGGCACAGTATCACTAACAAGTGACACCCACAGGTGTCAGAGATCCTCACCTCTGTTCCACACAACCTGGCAGAGGGATGCTTGCCATGTCCTGTTCCCAACACCCCTGGCACAGGGATCCTGCTCTGTTCCCCATTCCCAATATCCTTCCACAGGTACCATCCCCAGCTCCCTTCCCACCAGCAGACACAGCTGGGGACAAGCCCTTGGTGACAATGCCATCCTGTATCCCCCACGGCCACAGCCCCAGGACTCACCAGGAGCGAGGGGTTTGGCAGCAGGAAGGGCTGATCCAGGTGAGAACACCTCTCCCTTGGAGCCAGGCTGGCAGATCATGTGGTTGGTGACCAGGTGGCTGTACAGGATGTCCCTCGTGGTGGAGATGAAGCCACAGCTGTGGCAGACACCTGAGGGGACAGGGCACCGGGCTGAGCGGGCAGGGCAGGAAGGACAGTGCCAGTCCCTGGAACTGCCAGAGGGGACAGGGCTGTGCCCGTGGGACACTCACCGTTCAGGGTGTCCGTGTGCACCTTCAGGTGCCGCTCACAGTTGGCTTTGGTGGTGAAGGCAGACAGGCAGATCAGGCAGACGAACGGCCGCTCTCCTGCAGGACAGACGGACACTCAGTGCTCAGGGGAGGGGGACAGGGACTGTGGGGACACCCACAGGGCCAACACCCTCTGCCTCTACAGCTCTGAGATGAGGGAAGACCTACAAGCGAGCTGTGCCAAACCCAACTGGGGAGAACCTCATCCCACTGGTCAATGTGCTCCATCCAGCCCTGCATCCCCCCTGCCCCTCCAGCAGCTCAACCTCCCCTAACTGGTCACCACGGTCACCATGGTCACCATGCTGCCACCCCAGAGCCACCAGAGGAGAGGTGCCATGCCGTGCCGTGCCGTGCCATACCGCTATGGCTCCGCATGTGGATCTCCAGGGAGCTGGCACTGGGACAGCTCTTCTTGCACTGAGGGAAGGGGCACACCCTCTCGTTGGGATAGGTGTCCTTGGGTTTCTCCTCCAGGGCGGGGGAGCCGGCGCCGGCGCTCTGCCGGCTGGCACAGTAATACATCAGGTGGGCCTGGAGGTTCCGCTCGCTCCGGTACCAGATCCCGCAGTCCTTGCAGGGGAACACGTCCTCTGTGGAGAGCAAAGGAC